CTAGGAGCAGCTGCATCTCAGCAGAGACGAGGAGACACACAGTGAATGTTGTGTCAAAACCCAACAGTCTTTGTTGTTCACCTTGCTAATCCTGAAATCTTCCTGGCTCTTCAGAGAGGCAGCAGCAAAAATAAGAGCCTGGCAACAAACTCATAGAGGGAGTTGATCTGGAGCCGGGCTGTGCTGGAGCTGGCAGCCAGGGTCTGCCCCTGGCCTGGGGCTGGATCCAGCCGTGCCTGAGCACAGTTGGAGTTCCCATCTGGATCTCAGCTTCCCAGTCCAGGCCTCCCCTGCCCAGGGGATTAGCAGAGATGCGGTTCCCAGGGCGGGGGAAGGGGCTAATGAACAGAGACAGGATAACGAAGCAGGTATGGGCTTCCTGTACTTCAGGGCTCAGTAGGAAATCCTGCAGCTGGTGAATCTGGATACGATTAGTGTCCATTTCTCCCTGTGTAATCAACCCATCTGTTCATCCTTGCGCATCAGCCGCGCACGCCCCATTGCAGGCAGATGCCTCTCGGGCACTGTTTCCATCCCTGGCTGCCACAGCCGCTCCGGGCAGGCTGAGAACAGGGCTCACTCAGTATCTGCTCCCTGGCAAGCCCGGGCTGGGGCAGTGCTGGGGGAGCTGTGGCCACCACAGCCACGATCCCAGCAAAGAGCGGGACCCAGGAAAAGCCTCTGCTCTGGGGGAGGGCGGCTTCTCCAAAGGGCTTGGAGCAGTTCAAAGGGATCGCTGTGACACGCAGATAAGCTCAGCTTTCCCGGCTCTGCCTGCTCATCCCAGCTCAGCTTTACCACAAGCAGGTAAAGGTGGATTATGTTTGGCTGGCTGGCTTCAAAGCCTTGTTCATCCCGTGGGATGCTGAGCGCAGGACACACAGTCCCCTCATGGTCGGGGAAGGGACTGGGCTCTCAGTGCTGCTCTGTAAGAACACTGGTAAAGTTGAAAGGTGCTGCTGCAGGGTCCTGAGGCCTCATTTCAGTCTCTTTTCCTTGGCAATTTTGTCCAACTATGCAGAAAACCACAACAGCCCTGCTGTGGGTTACAAATGTCAGCTGACACACTAGGCTGAAATGAAATCAGGAGAGGAGCTGCTGTGTGGATCAGTGTATTTTTGTAGTGCAGTGGCTCAAGCTTGCATGGTGCTTTAGGGTCTTCTGAAAGGTCCGGCTTGGTGACAGAATTGGGACAAAACTACAATTCCCAATCCTGTTGTGCTGGTGTCGACCTCCACTGAAATAGCTCTTACTGGGGGTCACTGGAGTGTCCTGGGGCATCTGTCACACCAAGTGCTGTCCATGTAAAGATGAGGATGGTCCCTGCCCACAGCCCTGCCCTCTCCTGTGTGTGGTGTTCAGGGATTTGGGCACCTGAGTTCCTGCCATTTGCTGAGTGCCAAGGTGTCATTACAGCCAGGAACAATCTCAGGAATGCAGCACAGGTTAAACATTTAATTTGCTTTCAAGGGCTACTTGTTGCTGCATTTCTAAATGCAACCTATCCTCAGCGCCTGTTATATTGCTCTGGGCTGCTCTTTGGGTCCTAAATCTTCTGATTTTTGTTTGGTTTGGAATGTACCATAAGGAATAAATGAAAAACAAAAGAAAACAGCAGTACTTGTTTGCATAGACCCTACATTGTTCTGTGCTGTGCTGCTACTGAAATAGGAGTGATAAATCCCACTCCCTGGACAGAAGTTTTTTTGGGTGGTGGCTGTGTGCAAACAAGGCTGGGGAAGATAAACAAGCAGAAGAAAAATGGGTTTAGGAAATGACACTTGAGGCTGGTCAATCAACTGATGGGTCAAAGCCAGCACAAGACCATCAATTAGCAAAGCCATATTGATATTGGTTCTCCAAAGCATTTTTGCATCCACAAAGAGGGCCGAGAGCTGGATCTGTGGTCAGACTTGGCTGCAATTAGGAATCTGTACAGTTTCGGTGTTGCAAAGGGGGAGTTTTAGAAAGGATTCTGCCTGTAGAAAATATGTCCACAGTTCCAGAAGGGCTCAGCCAAAAGGGTGATGAAAATCTGTCTGTTGGTGTCATCGTCAGAACTGCTGGAGGTGGGAACATTTGCTAATCTTACTTATTTTAGGGGCCCTGCTTTCAGAAGCAGTTCAGTTCTGAAAATGCAGCTCTGAAAACTCAGCTCTTAAGAGTCTCATACAATACATGCCTCAGACTAGACTAAAGAGGGATGTATTCTTCAGACTGTAGGTTCTTGCCTGCCTAATTATGATTTTCAGCTACTTACATTTCGGTCTTTGCATTGTATAAATGTGACACAGAAGAAGTAGCTGTGACATTGCCTAGCTTTTTCTGTTCCAGCTGGGGAGGAAGCAGCTAAACCTGCAGGGTTTCAGAGCTTGCAAAGCTGATGTGGAAGGAGAATTTAGTTTCATGTTTGGGAATCAAACTCAGCTCCCTGAATAACCTAAACTGTCACGATTTCTTTTCCTCCAGCGCCCCCAGGCCTGGGGACAGTGTCACTCTTAAGGGGTAACTTTGACACCCTGAGGCAGTGCAGGGTTGAGCAGCATTGTTGTATGCATATCAAACATGAATTCAGGGTAAACAACCTTCAACTCCAGTGGTTATATCTCTATTGGAACCTTTCAGTAGGTTTAAACCTCCACTATGGGTTTTGACTTCCCTGTTCAGCTGCCTCAACAGACACATGAGGTGCCTGAAGCTGCACAAAATGGATTTTGGATGAGCTCAGCACTGGCCAAAGTCTAAACTGGTTTGGCTTGAAGGATTTTTGGCAGCTGCAGCTCCAAATCCTGGGATTGTTCCCAATGATATGGATAGAGAAGCCATCCATCTCTCACTTCAGAGAGTTCTCTGCCACCATCCAGCTTCTGGAAGAGAAGGAAGCTGCCCTGGATGTGAACAGAGCTCCAGAGCAGGGTGGGATGTGACTGCTGGGTACATACTAAAAAGGTCAGCAATGTTGTCAAAAACCCTGGCTTAGGGTTTTTCTGTGTTTCGTGGGTCTGGAGCCCCAGAGCTCTGTCTGTGATGTGGCAGCTCCATCTTCATCTGTGGTGGGAGCAGGAAAGAGCTTGGATGGACTCCGGCCTTTGTGCTTCGGAAGTGCCAACAGTATGAATAATGTATAGGAGTTCAATTCTTCTCTCCCTGGCTGAGGGCAAGGTGTCCCAGCTGATAAGAACTGGGAGCCCAATCTTGTTAAAGCCAGTGTTAGAATTAGACCTTCATGAGATCCACTGCCTCAAGCAATTCCATTGTTCAGAGCACATTCGGTTAATTAGTACATTAACTAATAACCTTCTCAGCATCCCAGGTAGGGAATATCTGTCTCCCAAAGGAGGAAACAGAGGCAAAGTTACAAAGACTGGATGCAGGAGCTTAGCAATGCAGCTGTTAAGTCTGTTTTTTTCTGTCCCAAATGATTTTGTGTGGCTGCTGCTGCCTTATGCACATAATTTTCCTGAGACAGAAATGGAGGAGCTCTAAAACCTCCTGAGAGAGTGCTCAGGCCCAATGAGGGAAGGTACTGCTGGACAAGCCTGAGAAGAGCTGAATCCATCCAGATACTCAGAAGAGGCAATTTGCTTCACCCACATGCACCAGCTAAGGAGTGAAACCAAAACCATTTCTCGTTTTCAAGGAAAGTTTTTCTTACCACCTTGGCTTTTCACTCACATCTTCACCTACTCTAAATTTCATAAGCAAATGGCCAGTGTGGGAAGGAGAGAGCACAGGAGGAATGACAGCGGGGCTGTGTTTGTACAGGCTCACTGGGATGGGATCAGACCAGAAGGATAAGACCTGAAGAGATTCAAACAGCCAGAGGGGAAACTTTGATGCTGAGGAAATCCTTCGACTCCAGCACATGATGATGAGCAGCTGATTTCCACAGCTTTGCAGCGTGGTTGGAAAAAACCCTGAGCAGAAGCACAAGGGTAGGGTTCTTCAGCTTGCAAGACCCGTGACAACACCACAGACCATTTCTCACGAGCCCTGATCACAAACAGAAAGGGGAGGCTTGTTCTCTCCACCCAGCTCTGACCAGAAGGCGCTTTGTGCTTTACCTACTCTGAAATGACAATTCTCAGCATCAAGGATGTGTGTGCAGAGGAATGAGAGCCAGCTCCTGCATGCAGGGATCCATCCCTGAGGAGGAGAACTCACGAGGTTTAATTATGGGGCCACGTGCCTTATCAGTCTGCTGGCTTCCAACCAGCCCAGGCAGCCACAGCCCTGCTCAGCACCGGAATGTCAAGGGAGTGCCTGGAATGAGGGACCTGGTGAGGTCATAGAAGGCACCAAAGCAAGTGGCCTGTCCTGTAGAAGGGACTCCTTTCATGACCACAGCTTAATCCACCACCAGTTTGCTGAGCCCACAGCAGCCCAGATTGGAGGCTACAAAAATATCCCCGTTCAACAACTCCTCCCTTGTCCTTTGTGAAGCTCCAGCATTTTAATCATGTTCACACCTCCCTCTCCTGACAGAAACCATCTCAGCTCCCTCTCAGGTCCACAAAACCTGTGCATTCCTGGTCTCATTCCCTTGCTTACACATCAGACACTCTCCCTTCCATAAGCTTCCCAAACGTCCGTGTTTGCTTATTCTCTGTATTCCCAGCTTTCCCCCCGTGCACCCTCATTTGACTAAGGTTTGTTGAATAATCAACTGGTGCTGAAGGCCTACATAGAATTTTGGGTGTTGATAGATTGAGCAGTCCCAGCCCCATGCATGTTCCCATTTCTCCATCTCAGGACCTCCAGGAAGGTGCTGCTGAGGTAGGGACCCCGTTATTGGGAAAGGCAAAACTCCCCTTCTTGTAAGTGTGTCTTGTAAATGTGTCTCATCCTGTTCATGCTCAGTCTGAGCTCTGTTCCTTTTCACTGGGAATAAGGGTAAAAACAGAGTTCCTCAGATTGTTGGGGGTTTCTAGAAGAGAGTATTGGTGGCAGAGCAGCTGAAATCAGTTTTTATTTCTCACAGTCTGACATGCTGTGTGTGGCTATTCTTGGTCTGTTTTTATACACATCTAGAACCCTTTGGTCATCATTCTCCAACCTGTCCTGCTGGTTTTCCTGGAATAGCATTAGACAAGAAATGCACGATTCTGTCCATGCAAAGGCATTTTCAAGCAAGCCTTGTCTTCTCAAAGCCTAGTAAAATAAACCAGACTCAGATCTCTTAAATGCCTTCACAATTCCCAGACATTGAGGTTAATACAAATTGCACAGACCTACTTGTGGGGTCACATGGCTCCACATCAAACCCACACCAAAAATCAGGATATCCTGATCAGGTTCTCAGTGGAGTTTATTACAGGTGATGCTTATTTTTAGGGACATTTTAATAAGCCTAACCAATAACAACAAATTACTAATAAATCCATAACAATTTTCACCTGGAGATCTTAGGTTACTTTGGCAGAAATTGCAGTGAGGAATAATGGTTTTTAAAAATACCTAAAGATTTAACCTTTTACACAGGATAATTCAAGATGTTGCCATTATGCTTCTGCTCTGAATTACTTTGCAGAGAAATTACCCTCCCCACGGACTCCAGAAAGCTGAGCAGGTCCAGTCTCCTATGCTTAAATTTATCCTATATGAATATAGCACAAAGTGCCTCGTCCTATTGACAACCTTCTTCCTGTGTAGGATTTTCCTACAGAGCTTCACAGCTGTGCTGGGTTTTGCATTTCCAGTTCCCTGCATCCTTAAGGGATAGGACTTCTAATGGGGAGATCTTGCTAGTCCTAAATCCTGGGAATATCCCTGATTTTCACAGCTTGTCCCATCTACAGAAGCAGAAAGCCCAGGGGGTGTTTGACTTGTGTCTTCCTAAGGGTCTTCTCATGCTGAGTACTCCCAAACAGGTTCGTGAGGTGTTTGCCTTGCTCTAAAAACTTGACATTGGTTTTGATCAGGATTTGGAGGATCATAACACCTCTGTTGGAGGGTGGGATTCATCTGTGTGTCTTGTTGGATGCTAACTGGGACTTCAGCCCTGTGCTTTCGGGAGAAGAGGGTCCAGTGAGAGGTGTCTCCGGTTCCTCAAGCCATGGGCGCATTGCTTGGATGGGCAGCTGTGATGCTGCTCCGTGGAAGGGCAGGAAGATAAAAGTCATGGAGCTCATGAGGCTTTTTGTGGGCACAGAGTCCTGCTGGAGAGATCCTCTGTTTCCGAGGCACGCTCGTCCTGACGGGATCGAGCAAGGAAGCCTCGGACTGCTGTTCCCACGGGTGCCGTTGGGATCCGGGCTGTAGAGGCCACGCTGTCCCCAAGGCCGGGTTCCTCTCCCCCTCTCTGCGGGTGTTATTTACACCGTTTCCTGCCCAGGGAAGTTCAGGAGTTTGACGTTACTGAGTTGGTTTCCGCTCTCCTGCCCGGCTCCCTCTGGGAGCTGTCGCAGAGCCCGGCAGCAGCCGGGCCGGACCCCGCGGGCGGGATGGAGGTGCCAGCCAGGCCAGGGAGGGAAGTGTAACCCATGTCAGGCCGGACAACTCTGGCTCAACCGGCTTGGGAGGGCTGGAGAACCAACCCTGTGTCCATCCCTCCAGCTCAGTCCTGCTGTGGGACTGGACAGGACCGGCAGGAGGAAGGAGGACGCGCCCGGGCACGGCTGCAGAGCTTTTTGGGTTCCTGCCGAATTGACGCCCTCCCCTCTCCCCCCTCATCCTTCCCGCCTGGCCTGCGTCTCCCCTCCCTTCCCTTCTCCCTCCCATCCCGCAGCAAACAAAATGGCTGCTCCATGGCCATTTTGTTTCCCATCTGGAAGGGGGAAGCCGGGACGCTGGGACTTGGCTCTTTTTTGGAGGCTGCGGCCATGTCCGAGCCCAACTCTCCCGTCTCTACGTGGCACCGGCTGTAGCAAGAGAGAGAAAGGGAAAAAAAAAGGAGAAAAAAAAAAAAAAAAAAAGGACCTTTTGGAACGAGACCAAAGGCAGAGGCAGAGTGGGTAGTTTTGGCGTATGTTGAGCACTGAAAATGCCTGGAATTGCCAAACTGAGCTTTTGTATGAGCAGCGTAAGGGCTACTCGGTGCACGCAGAGCCGCGGGGCTGCACGGAATAGCCGGACGGAAAGGTTTGTTCGCTATATTCAATAAAACAGCCCTCCTTTCTTCTGGATTTATAAAGTACCAGAGAGCACTGTTGTCTTAATTTGTTTTTGGACGGGCGGATGGTTTTACACATCGGCTTGGTATGACCAGAGCCGGTCATTGCCGGACCGTAGCGTTTTAACCTGTTGTGTGTCCTCTTGTTTTTGGTGCATACGGGATCTGACCTTTCCACCGAGCTGGCACTGCCTGGATTTAGCTGATGTAATCCGGAGGATATTTTTTTTAAGGATTTTTTTCTTGTTTATTGCCTTCTTGCCTTGAAAGTTTTCATCTCAGGAATAAAAACATCTTAATTTAAATATTTAAAGCAATAGCTGTTCTTGGCTTTTTAAGCCCTTGCTTTTCTCCCAAGGCTGAAGCTGTACTATGCTCTCAAGCTGTTTACTGCATTCTGTGTGTATCCTGCACACGTTAAGGTGTGATACACAACAGAAACACCATCAACAGGAACACGCCTTGAAAGTTTAAAGCAACTTGGTGGCGTTGCCATAAAATTTTGCACAGAAGCAGGGCAAAAACACCAGAACGTGCGCCAAATAAAAGTGGGGTTTTTTTTGTTTTTTAAAGTGATTCTGCATTTCCTTCAGTAGCCTGGATGTCTTGGTGTTAGTAGCCACGTCGCTTTGTTCATGGACACTCCGAGGAGCAGATCCCTGCCCTGTGGCACGGAGGGATCAGGCTTTGATAAGGTGTTGGAATGATTGTCCTGCCGTTCCTTGAGTGGCTTTCCAGACATGTGGAGAGGAGCAGAGACTTCCAGAGCGGAGCTGGGAAGGAGAGCAGAAAGAGGTGAAATGGCTTTCCTTGCACAGAAAGGTATTTGATTTGCCTCCATATCCCCTTGGCTTGTTTGCAGACAGACAATAGAGAGAACGGCAGGGCCACGGTGGTCCCGGAGCTGGGGCTGCACAGGCGGGCGCTGGGCGGGTGCTTCACGCTGCAAATTTAATGTTTTGGTCCAAATCTACATTAGAGGTGGATATTACCTGCACACCTTTCATCAGCAGCTTATGAACTGAACATGGAGAATTAACAGTATTAATAGAACAGTTTTATAGAGTATTACAGGAAAAAAATGTTCTTTCTTTAGACTTTTGAGTTAACCTATAGAATCAAGCGCAAAAGAGGTAAAAATAAGCCTGAAAGATAAATTTTTCCTCTTATTTGTAGTATTTAGTGAAATTACTCTGTGAAATATCAGTAGCGCCTATCTTATGACAAAAATTCTGGGGTTTTTTTTTTCTTCAGGAGAGGGTACAAATTTACAAGGAATATGTACAAAGGTTTAGAAAAAACATTACCATTATGGCCACCTTTAATAATGTGTTAATGAAATGGGTTAATGGGTTAATGAAAGATAAGTCATGTAACAAGCCGGTTACAGTTGACTGCATTATAGATAACAATATCAGATTCATTAGTAATGATCCAGGTGTTTAGAAACATCTGATAGGACTCAAAACAACCCCTAAGTGATGAGCAGCTGTTTATAAAGACACCTGCTAATTGTTTAATAATAAATGCAATGGCAAAGTTGATGTGAAATATTCCCTGTGTCATTAAAAGTGTGTGGAGTAAAAGCATTACTAGAGACAGGGGCTGTTGCAGGATTGAACTGTAAATATTTTTACTTCCATTTCTCTTTCCCTATTCACTGTGCCTTTGATTAACTGTTTCAAAGTGTGATGTTAAATATTGACTTTAGGATGGGGTGTTTGCGAAGATGGTTGGCCTTCCTTTGCCGAGAGGTTTGCCTGGCCTGGGAGAGGTTATAAACAACTTGTCTTCATGGCTAGTTTGGCAAATGTCATTTTCTATTGCTTTTCTGTGGCACAGGGTGTGTCCAAGATGGGTTTTTGGTCTGTTTTCTGCTTTTCGTTTGAGCGGGTTTCTTGCTGCCGGCTGCATCGGCAGCTCCAATTGGTGCTGTGGGTCCCCACAATGTTGGCGAGTTACTGAAAACCTTCCATGCTTCTTTTTGGCTTATTTTGGGTTTTATTTTTAATATTTTTTTTTGTCTGTTGGGTTTTTATTTTTCCATCCCAGCCAGGTTGGGAGGACATGAAGCCAAGGGAACAAAATGGCCACACTCGGCCATTTTGTGCCAACGCCGCCGTTGCAGGGAGCCGGGGCCGCTTCTGTCCCAGCTCCAGCAGCCAGAAAATCCTCTTGGAGACTCAGGGCCCTGGTTTCCCTCTGAGAATTCCTCTCTGTCCCTGGCACATTTCGGCTGAAAGTGGTGTCAGCTTTTAAAGCAGAGACATTGTTGTTTCATGGTTTCCTCCTCCCCCCCTCCTCCATTTCATTCAGTGCTCCTTAATAAACCAGATCAGCTCCTCAAGGCTTCAGAGCTCCTTTCCAACTCCTCTCCGAGGTCAGCTCCTTTTAAATGCAGACACTTGGCTGTGCTCAGGAATCTGTGGTGCAAAGATGTTTCAGAATTTGGGGGGCATCATCTCGGGTTTTCTTCTGGGGTCATCACAAGCCACCCTGAGCCCTGATAAATGGGGATCAGTTTAGGGCACTTCTTGATCCCAAAAACAAGTCTGAAAGCTGGACTGGAAATGCCATTTTTACCCTTTACCTGCCAATTTTCCTTACCCCTCCAAGCACTGTAGACAGTGGGACCATGTAGTGACACACTCTGTGCACAGGAACCTTCGTGCAGTGGCTTGCAGAAACCCATCAAGTGTTTTCACAGAAATCAGATTTAATAAATTTTGAGGGATCCATCTGAATCTAGAAAGTGAAAATTACAAGGCCACTGCCTTAAGGCCTGCACAGAAAGTTGCATTCTATGAAGAGGTTCTTGGCAATCAAGTATCCAAAAATCTTTCAAAACTGGGTTTAATCTCAGAAGGCAGTGAGAGGCTTTGGGTGTGGGTCTCTGACTCCTACAGACCCTGTTGGCTGTTTTATCCAGAATTTTGCATAGCTATATCACATCCAGGCAAATTTGGGCGCATCTCCTTCCTTTCCCAGCTTTTGTCTTGATGGTTTAGACCTCAGGCCATGAGGAGAGGGAATTCCTGTCACTGCAATTTATGTAGGACAAACAAATGTGACAGTGATACTAGGAGTAGGATGCTCTTTGTCATCTTTACTGGGCATAAAAAATCCCCCCTTTTGATCAATAAATCCTCCTGGTTGACTCCTTTCTTCACAAATCCTGCTAAAATCAGGATTCCAGAGTCAGCAGCTGGGTATTCCCAAAACCTATACTCATTAAGACAATTATTATAATTAAGTCTTCTGTTTTCAGGTTTACTTACAGAAGTCAGAAGGGATTTTTTTCCTCTCTCTCCCCATGTATAATTACATCTATATGAACTCAGTGTTATTTAATGTAGTTTCCCACCAGCAGTTTGAGATTGGCCCAAATGCCTATTGTCTGCAGTGTTACCAAGAGTGGCCTTTGAAATGCCTGCCTGATACGTCTGCCTTAATGTAATATAATAAGTAATATAAACCACCAGATTGGGAACCAGGAAAAATCGTTCCTCCAGGTCACTTGCTGAAAATCTCTTTGGAGAAGACTAGCATCCTCTGCCTCTATGCTTCACCCAGGAATCACTTAGACCACCCACCCTCCCAGTGCCTGACCAGTGCAGCATCTCTTGGCTTTCTTGCCACCCTTCTGCTTGATGCTTGTAGCAGCAGCTTAATTTTTGGGAAGCTGAAACGTTTTAGTTCAGACTAACCCTTCTGTCCTCAAGGAGCTGAGCAGTGACAGACCTGATGGACTCATAAGCCTGGCTGTCACCTCCTCAAAGCTCTGCCTGGTGTTGCATGTGCTGAGGAGGGATGTGCAACTCCTGTGCATCACTTTCTATGCTGATAAAAACAGGAGAAATAGCATTTGCCATCAGGAGGTTGTTTTGGGATGCACTTGGCACCAGAGATGGGCTGGGCACTTCAGTGCTGTAGGAACCAGTTCCGCCACATCGGGGTTTTGACGTTGTTCATACCCTGGTACACCAGGAGAGGCCTGGGCCAGATGGTCCAGCACAGTGGGTCATTCCCTGTGAAGGACCAGTTTGTCAAAGGAAATTAAGAAAATTACCTGGACTGTGTTGAATGCCAGTGAGGAGAGCCTGTGGAGAGCTCTGGAAGAGGGCGCTTCCCAAACCTTGCTGCAGAATCCATTCTAAACTCTCACAAGGATTCCAGCTACAGTAGTTCACCAAAGCTCTGGGAATATTTAGGCTGTTGCCTGGTAGCTGTGGAAGCACAAAGCATTAGGCAGCTTTTATCCCTTTGGAGACTTCTGCCTGAGCCCCCTCCTCTCCCACCAGAGCTCTCAGCTGACGCTTGTGGAGGTTGGGGACATCTCCTGCTGAGCTCCCATGGGAAGTTATCCTTTGGGTCTGTGTTGCACTGCACATGCAGCCTGCTTGGCTTGGCTCCCTCGTCGTTAGGGCTGCTTTAATCTCCAAAGGGAATTCTTTCTTCTTGCAAAAGAGCCTCACACGTTTCTTTCAAACTGCCAGATTAATACCTCGCCTCTGTATTTGGGTGTACAGAGAGTGAAGAAGCCTCAGAAGGTGAGCCAAGGGCCTGGGGGGAAGCCAGTCTGTCTCAGATCCATGCTAATACTGCTTGGCTGGGCTGGAGCATTACAGGGACAGCACGGCTGCATGTTGCACTCATTTGTTTAGGAAATAAGATCTGCCTTGATGTACTCGATACCATTACATTTGCAGCCTAAAAGCTTCCTTGTACTTAGTTATTTCTAATCTGCTCAATTCCCTGGAGTGCACAGCAGCTAAATTGATGGATTCTCTTATCTGGTCTGGCAGGTTTGTTCTAGATATGCTGTGTGTTCAGGAGGTGAGGTCAGCCTGGCTGGGTGTGCTTGGCGCTGCTGCAGCTTCCCGAGAGCTCTGCTATCTCCATGTGTAGCCCCGGGTTCCAAGGGCAGGGCTGCTGCTTTTGTGCACCCTTGGGTGCATGAAGTTTGCAGCCAGTGGGGCTGCCAAGCACAAGGTATAGTCCAAGTGGGCTGAAGGAGGTTTGAAGAAGGAGAAAGAGCTCCAGGACAAGGTTGGATATGACTCCTCTCCCCTGCCATCAAGAATTCTGATTTTTCATGTCTCTTTGCAGGACCTGCAGAGCAGCCAGTGTCTGGATAAGGCTCATCCCAGTGCCTGGATAAGGATCATCTCAGTGCTTGGATAAAGATCATCTCAGGCTGCCACAGTCCCAAGCTGTCCTTGAGGCTGAGGTAGTAGATTGAATAGTTGTGGAGTCCGGTCCTCCCTCTGAGCTAACTATACAATCTACTGTCTTTCCTAAGGAGACAGTCAGGTCTTCAGGTCTGCTCATCCACTTCTGCACCAGGTGTGGGGGCAGAACTAAAGCAAATCCGTGCCCGTGATCCGTCTGTTCTGCTCTGTGGAGGTGAGGTAGTAGGTTGTATAGTTTGGTGGGAGGGATTTGATCCCATTTCAGGTGATAACTATACAGTCTATTGCCTTCCTTAAAGAGCAGCAAAACCACTGGTGGGGAGGAGCTCCCGAGGCATCGCTTCTTTTGTTGAGGATCCAGAAACGCAGCGTGGCATTGTTAAACAACTCAGTGGGTGTTTCTCTTACAGCGTCCAAAATTGCATTCTTCCAGGAATTGCTTCATGCCTCAGGCACTGTAGCATGGAGCCACCTGCTTCCAGGGAACCCACCTCTGTTTAAGGTGTGAGAGAACCAGGGAAATAAGTTTGCACACCAGCTCCCAGTGTTCAATTCTGTTCTTTTTTTGCAGGAGATGGGCTCAAGTTGTAAAGTGTTTAAGTGTGTTGATTTTTCTGGTCTGACCTCAGGTCTGGAGGGGAGTAGATCCTTTGGTATAAATGGGACAGATCTGAGCTTGTGATTGAATTTTGTTGTGCCCATTTCTGAAGTTGGGGTTCAGAACCAGACTCAAGGGCAAGTTTAGCCTGTGGACTCAGAGCCCTGGGAGCTGATCAGATCTGGCTGGTTGGCCCCTGCTCAGGAAGTGCATTTTGTTTTGGACAAGTTCCCAGCCTGTCCCATGGAACTGAGTTAGAGGGTGGTTCTTTCTGATCTGATAATCCCTTATCAACTGAACTTGCTCACATGCAAACCCTGTCAGGGGAAGTTTAGGGCTCTTGGCTCTTTGTATAGGATGAGCCAATGATTCAGACTAAAATCTTGTCCTAAAGTGAAGACAGGTAGGGAAGAGCCAAAGGGAGCAGGCTCTAATCCTTCTGGGTTCTCCCAGGCACTGTCACCTGACAGCAGACATGTGAGAAGTCGTCATGCTTCAGAGCTCTGGCCCTTGGCAAGGGACAGGGAATTGTTAATTCTTCTCTTTCTTAGGAGCAGGTGGGACTATCCCTCTGCCGTTTTCCAGAGTAAGTAGGATCAAGACCACGAGTGGAGCTGTAACACGATCAGGGCTGCATCAGGAAGGACATTTCAGGCCATTATCACAACCATCTTACTGCCAGGGAGACGTGAGATCCGAGACTCTGGGGAGCGAGGGCAAGCAGAGGACACCTTCTCAGATGAAGTGGGAGGGAGAGAGCAAGGAGAAATTGGAGCCCACAAATTTCACCCTGAGCAGAGGCACAGGGAGAGCCAGACCTGGCTGCTGGGTCCGTGGGAGTCCCCAGAATGAAGCAGCTCCTTTCAGTCCCCTCTGCTGGGACAGGGCGTAGCTGCAGCGAGGCTGGGACACAGCTGGTGGGTGGGGATGCTGCAGTTCCAAGCGGCGAAGGAATGCAGCCCTCTCTCCATAAATCTGGCTTTTCAGCAGTCCTGGCGACTTGCTGTGCAAAACTACAGCTTGGTCCTCTGAGCTGCATTATTATCCTCCAGCTGCTTGCTCAGGGGCAGGGCGCCTGCCCACAGATTGCTTGGAAGGTACCAAAATAGCACCACAAGCATGGGAACAGGGTGGCATATCCACTTCATCTGGAGAGGTGTCCCCTGGAAAAGAGCTAATCCCACGTGTCCCAGATGGAATCTGTTCAGTCCCCCTCCGTGGCATTGATACTAAGACTGAGAAGCTCAAACAGTGGAACTGTGTGACCTGGAAGCTGTGAATAAAGTATTACTGGAGATATTCCCTTGTGAAAATAAACTTGGTTTGACTTTTTTAAAACAGAGTCTTTTTATTGCCCTGAAGTGAGTTTGGCTGGTGAACTGGGACCTCTCGAGGGCTGGTCACTGTTCCTGACTGACCAAAATCCTGGGTGTGAAAGGGAAGCCACAGGGTGAGGACGTGGGGCAGACTGAGTTGGCCAAGCAGCTGAGACCATCTTGTTTGCTGTCAGCAGGTGCTTTCCTGACAGAACTTTTCAGCACAACTCATAAACGAAGCACAACCTGCTTCTTCAGTCATCTTGAGAGCTCAAGATTATCCCTCTGCCCTGCATAGTCCTTGCTATAAACATGTTTATAATGTTTATAATGTTTATACCAGCAAGAGGAGAATGCAAGTACTTTCAAGGTACACTAACCCAAATAAATCCCATCAAGGGCTAAGAAACCAGCCCAGGTAAAGTTTAATTGCTCCAATGTGTCCTGTAACAAAGGGAATGGCAGCTTTGCCTAGGAGGAGGGTGACCAGCCTGGCTGAGATTACACCTGTGGATATGTGGGACACCACCTGATTCACTGCCTAGAACTCCACATCACATGGCACTGGGGCAGCCACACCATCCCTGACTGCAGTGGCAGGGAGGAATAGGCACCTTCTTTTAGCAAAGAGCAGCCAGGTAACAAGATCAAGAAAGGTAGGTCCTCCCCAGACCCTCAGAGGACACCGTGGGACAAGAGCACTTCCAGCCCAAACACTCTGCAGGAAGCTGGATGGAGCTGCCAGCAGCATGACCCCAAATGCAAATACCCAGCAGGGTGTGAGCTCACCACAACTGTTCTGGCCCACTGCATTCACGGGAGATTCAGGAGCTGAAGCAAAAGAACCTCCTCTCGCTCCACCTGCAGCAAACAGCTCCCTGTCCCTGCTGGAAACGGACCCAGGGATGGAGGCAACCAAGCAGGTGAGCTTCATAAAGAAGCCAGGCCTCCTAAACACCACAAATCCCACCATTTAACCAGCCCAGCTGATGGTTAATGCCTCCTCCTCCTCCTCCCACCACACAGGGCTGTAAGGACCTGGCAGAATCTTTGCCAGGGTAACCCAGTGCCAGAGTCCCCTTTATGCCAACCCCAGAAAAGGAGTGGAAATGCTGCAAAAGTCTCCCTTGAATGTTTTGTGCGTTCTCCCCTGTGCAGCACACCAAACCCTGCCCTTGCCTAAACCCCCAAAGTCAGGATGAAGCCAAAGCCCCCAAATGCCCGTGTGGGCAGGCTCAGCCCCGCTGGCCCAGGGAGCAGGGCAAGAGGAAAGCGGATTTCCTTTGGCTTGGACTTTGCTGCTGCGAGGAACTCTATAAATAGGTCCTTGCACAGCAGCCCAGCTCCACAAGGCAAAGCCTTCAGGAGAACAAAACTCAGGAGTTTTCACAAGGTTGGTAGCCCCACCCCAGCGATAAAACACCTGAATCCTGGAATGATGGTGGTGGCTGTTAAGCAGCAGCCTCGATGTTGTGCCTCCTTGGCTCTCAGCAGGGTGGGGGATCCCACACTGCAAAAAATCAGGGTTTGCCCAAGAGCCCTGATCTTGCTGGGAGGAGAAATGGTTTTGTGCTCTTTGTAGTGTTTCTAGGGAACTTTCAGGGAATGCCACACTGTCCTTCACGCAGATGCAAAACCTGACAAGGTCCTGAAATGCTCTCTCATCTCCGACCCCACTCCCCTGTCCCGGGTGAGGAGCAGCCTGTGGGGGCTGTATTTTTATCCTCTGTCCAGAGGCCAGGGATGGGTTTGTCCCCCGAAGGCAGCTGGGCAGCAGAAATCATAGAGGTTATTTCTAATGTGATTCTTAACTCCAGCTGAAGCTGGCGATGGAACAAAGCTCAGAGCTGCGGGCAGGGTGTGCGGGGCGAGTTGAGCTGCCCAGTTCTCAGCGGTGCCTCTCCCAGTGCCATCTGCTGGTCAGGCCGGACTGGCAGTGACCTCAGCCAGGGTCCTGCAGCACAGCTGGGGCTCGGGAGAAAGGAAATGTGGAGGTGCAGGGCAGCTTTGCTGAGAAAAGCAGGGGCAGGAGGATGGGGAAAAGCAAAAGGCAAAGTCAGACACCAGCATTGCTCCAGTGCTGATTCTGCTTCTCGAGCCACTTTCAACTTCTGCTGCTCCCAGAGGTGAAAATGCTACAAAAACAGAATCTGGGGATGTACACTTGCATTTAACTTTTTTCTGTGCCTCAAGATGAAATATTGTGTTTATCGTGTAAAAATCTTGTGCTGGGCTTCCTAAAACAGGGAAGCAGAAGTGCTGTAGCCATTGTTTTTATTTCTTTGTTTGCTCTGAGCTCTTTTTCTCTTGCTTCTCTTGCCCAAGAATTCCTGGTGAGGACACATTTTTACTTTACACTCAGCTGGATGCTCAAGAAAAATTCCCTACGTCATCCTCAATCCCCATAGCCTCCTGCTGTTTTTACACAAGTTTAAAAACATTAAGTTACACCCTTACAAAAAGCAGCACATGGATGCTTTTGGAAAGCCAAAAAACCTGTTCAGGACCCACAGAAGTCATGTTGTCTTTTATCAGTTCCAGGTAAGTACATAATTAAGGGCATTTTACAGGTATAATAAGTTGCTCCCAGGTGTCCAGATTTCCCAGAGAGACAGTGAACAGATTTTCACAACAGGATTTATTCAGTGCATGCTCTGGGGATGCACAGGACAGAGCAGCAGTGGAGGATCTGAATAATGGCCTGCAGGTCATCCTCCACCTCATCTGTAAGAAATGAAAAGTTGCAATGACCAGAGAAGGGGCTGTTGTCTTCCTTCCACCTGTCTGCAAAGCTTGTCACATATTTAACACACCAGACTGGGAATCCTCAGGTGAAGGGAGGAGAGATGTGGGGTAACAAAACACAGTGGCCCAGACAATGCCAGTGCTCCTGCAACAAGCCCAGGAGCCACCAATAACTTCTAACAATGTCACTTGTATGTCTGGAGCTCCAATTGTACCAACACATGTGGGGACTTGTTCTCCTTGACCGCACACACACAAGTTACGTGTCAAGAGGAATCTGTATCCTAATTCAAATACACAGAAATTATGCAAAGAATGAAGCCATGCAGGTAAAAGCTACATGAAGGAGCTGGTGGCCTCTCTCAGCTCTGAAGGTTTCTCTTCTGTGCGTGCACACAGGTGCAGGCACAGGCACACGCGTAAAATAAATCTGTGGCATTGGAGGAGGCAAGGGCTGCAGAGTGTGAGGAGGAGAGGGGGGATCAGCTGGGTAGTACTGGCCAGAGCTACACCACAACCAGGGGAAAACAGAAATCCTCAAAAAAGCCACTCTATTTAGACAAAAAAGGAAAGAGATAACATATGTCCAAAACTGAGACACATTGGGAAGGAAAAGAGCATTTCTGCTGGAAACGCATCCTGACAAACACCAAAGCCAACCAGCATGTCTCATCTACAAACACCAAAGCCAACCACCATGCCTCATTGTCCCCAAGTCACCCTCTGTCCCCAGGGTCACGCTGTGGCAGGGCCTGCCAGCCAGATGGGTTTGTGGGTGCGTGGGAGAGCTCAACACTTCCAGCCTGGAAATGGAACAGAAGCCAGGAAAAAGGAGAAGCGTCCGAGGTCACCAGCATTATGGCAAACACCCTCCTGCCCTCTGGTCTCCTCAGGAAGGGGACAAAGTTCCCCTGGGACTGCCAGCTGCCCTTGGCTCGCCGGGGCTGCAGCAGAGAAGGCGGCGTAAGGAGGGAGCGTGTGAATTGTCCAAGGAGTCTCCTGAGCCTACCAGGGCTGTGGAATAACCAGCGCTGACAAAAGCCTTGGTGAGGGGTGCAGGGACAGCTGAGGAAGACCCTTCAGAGCAGAAGGCCCACCAGGATGGCACTGGGGAGGAGGAAGAGGGAAAGCCCCAGGCAGGTACTGGGGGCTCCACCTTTGGGTGGATCCACACTTGTCTGGTCCGAGTTTGGCTCCAGTTCTTCTGTGTCCAGGGCACCTGCTGGAAGAGGAGAGGAAAATGTGGAGTTAGAGGGGAAGATCTGGCAGAAGAGAAACTTCCACTCATGCAGGTGTGCCATGACGTGCCCCAAGGCACCATGAGGCAGTAGAGCTCTGGTCCAGGGAAGCTGTGCGTTAGTGGGAGCAGGCTGTGAATGGGACCATGCTTCAGGGACATCCAATCAGCCCCTCAGGGTTAGAGCAAAGAGTGAAGAAAAGGCTTGGTGCCAAATACAAGAGGAGGATCCGAAGGACCAGTGTGACACTGCTCCTCCCAAGCCCTCTCCATGCTGCTTGGGGATCCCTGAATGTCCGTGTGTCCATGCCAGGACAAACTCCATGGTTGCCTTACCTGAGAGGGAGGTCTGGAAATGGGGGCTCGGCCCTTTTTTGTCTTTGGAGGATGATGTTAAGCGCAAGAATGTGGGCTCTTCAGGGCTGAGGACCACTGACTTGGAGGGGGTTATGAGCTCAGCTCTATTGAAAGCTAACTTCATCTCTGGCACAGCTTGGCTGAGGGATGGAGATGGACTGGAAGAGGCTGATTTCTCTTTCCCATCCTCTTTGACCTCTTTCTTTGTTTCTGGGGCTGATCTGGGGCTGAAGGCTGTGCCCATGCTTTCTAATAAGGCTGGATCCTCTGTAGTGAAGGAGCTAAAAGGCTCTCCAGTGTCTGCCTCTGGAGACACTTCATAATCTGGGTCTATGGTGGGCTCAAAGGAAAGAGTGATCCCGGTTGCCTCAGTAGGATCAGATCTTTCTGGCTCTGGCTTTGTGGTTGTGGCTGTTTTCAGTTGTGTCCTTGCTGTTGTGGCAGGTGCTGGTGTTGTAGCAGCAGGTGTTGGCTTGGCTGTAGTGGTGGTAGATGTTGGTGTGGTGGGGGTTGGTTTGGCCGTGGCTGTAGCAAGTTTTGGCTTAGCTACAGTTGGGGTGGATTTTGGCTTGGCTGTAGGGGTAGTTGTGGTGGGGTTTGGTGTGGAGGTTGTTGGTTTGGTGGTGGTTGTGGTGGGGTTTGGTGTGGAGGTTGTTGGTTTGGTGGTGGTTGTGCTGGGTTTCAGGGGAGTGGATGTTGCCTTGGTGGTAGCTGGCTTAGTGGCAGTGCTTGTTAGGGTGGGTTTTGGTGTGGTGGGTGTTGGCTTGGCCATAGTTGTGGTGGTTTTTGGCTTGGATGCAGTGCTGGTGGCTGCTGGCATGGTGGGTCTTGGCTTGGCCATGGCTGTGGTGGCTGCTGGTGTTGTGGGTTTTGGCCTGGCTGGGGTTGTAGGGACTGTGCTGGCAGGTTTTGGCTTGGCTGTGCTGAAGGGTACCTGTGCTGGGGGTTTGGGCTTGGCTGTGGTTGGGAGTGTGATTGGGGGTGATGGTCTGGCTGTGGTTGTGGTTGGAAGTGCAGATGTAGGTTTTGGCTTGGCTGTGGTAGACACTGGTTGTGTGGGTTCTGGTTCAGCTGTGCTGTGAACTGGTACTGTGGGTTCTGGTTTGGCTGTGAGCTCTGGTTTGGTTGTGGGCTCTGGTTTGGCTGTGGGCTCTGGTTTGCCTGTGGCTGTGAGCTCTGGTGTGGCTGTGGGCTTTGGTTTAGCTGTGGCTGTGGGCTCTGGTTTGGCTGTGGGTTCTGGTTTGGCTGTGAGCTCTGGTTTGGCTGTGGGCTCTGGTTTGGCTGTGGGCTCTGGTGTGGCTGTGGGCTCTGGTTTGGCTGTGGCTGGGGTGGATGGCCTTGCCTTTGCTGTCACAGAGGCCGGAGTGGTCTCTTCTACAACGAGTTCTGGTGAGAGATGAAAAGTGCCTTGGGTTAGGGCTGGCTCAGCTGACCTCAATGGATCCCCTGCACTGAGCAGGACCAGCAGAAGCCAGTGAGGGGCTGAAACAGAGGCTGACCCCTCTCAGATCACTCTGGGCTATTCCCCACTCCAGGATTCCCAACCTGGAGACATCCCATGTCCCTCACAACCTCCTGCCATGCAAGGGGCAAATAATGCTGCCTAATGGGGTACAAGCCCTTCCTTATCTTAAGGCAGTTGTCCTTTCTCATGCTCCAGCCCTGGAAATGCAGTTCAAGGGCTTCCTGAGAGCTCCAGGAGGGTTCAGAGCTCAGACCCAGCCCAGGGTCTCAGTCCCAACAGCCCCTCCAGGGCCACACACGGCTCTGCTCACTCACCACACAGGTTGTTCACACAGACTGTGCCCGTGGGACACGTTTCACACGAGGGTCCTTCCGTGTAGGGCTTTTTGCCTTTCATGTTACCCCTGGAAACAGAAAATGCCAAGATAAAGAGGGCGTGAGGAAAGGGGAAACACCCATCCCAGAGAGGGGGCTGATTCAGCTGGGATCTCCCAGCCAAAGCAAAACTTGGGATGAATGTAGAAAACAGAGAAAACAGGCCTTGGTCTCCTGCCATGGCCTGTCAGGGCTGTTTAGTCACCAGCCTGACCCCAAGGCAGCTAAAGCCAGGGCAGACAACTCCATGGAGCAGATCCCTCACCCCCCTCAGAACAGAGCAGGGGATGGGCACTGAAAAAAGGAATTCCATCTCACTTCTGCTCCAGACCCCCAGGAAGGTCTGCAGCCACTGGCTGCTCTTGGTGCTCTCAGCAGCTCCAAGCAAGTGGTGCCAAGGCTGGTCCCAGGGCTGGGAAGGGGGTACCCAGCTCTTCTCCCACCTCCAACCCTTCCTGCTGCTGCAAAAGGCCTTCTCCACCCCAGGCAATGGCTGCTGCCAGCAGGGAAGAGCAAGACCCAGGGAGTTGTTTGTACCCTCAGCTACTGCCACCTCAGCCTTGAGCAGCTCTCGGGGAAGACAGTCCCTCCCTGGGTGTGTGCCAGGAGCTGAACCAGCCCTCAGCAGTCATAATCATGGGCCAGGATCTCCAGACAACCCTTCCTTACTCTGGGACCAACCCAAGATAACAGAAGCATTATTTGGAACTTCTATTTCTGACCAAGGACAAACCCTGCTGTGACACAAGGACTGAAGCTAGGGCATTTCCAGCACAGAAATCCCACTGAGATGCATCAATCCGTGCAGGGCCTGGGACTTACGGGGGATAATAGTTGCAAACAAGTAGGTGCATGTTCTCTGTTTCAATTCCATCGATCTTCTCACAAAAATGTGCCCCGCAGCCAATCTGATGTGTGTTTGACCAAACCACCTAAGACAAAGATCAGGGTGGAGGTGAGGGGATTGGGTGAAGGCAGCCTGTCCCCCGGCCTTAAAGACTGCTCCAAAGACCTCCTCATCCCACAGAGTGATCCCCAGATCCCACATCCCCACATTGCTTTGGCATTCAGGATCCACCACCATCTCTGCCCCTACCCAAGCTGTGAAGAAACACTCAGACTTCGTCTCTCTCGGAGAAAATCTGGCACCCAGCTCTGCTGAGCAGCTCCCCCTCCACCCCAGCAGCTGGTACCTGGGTGTAGTGGCCACACATCTGCCCGGGGACACACGTGGATGTTGTCAAGTTGTAGAATTTCTCCTCCCCATTCCAGTCTTCCACAGCAAATTCTAGTTCCAGGGTTGGGGCCATAGCAAAGAGGTTTTCTCCCCGTCGGCCTCTCTCCTTGTTGTGATCCCAGATGCACTTCTCTGCATAGGATTGAGCAAGGACCTCCAGCTCCTTGTCCCAGGTCTGAAAGGAGCTCGGTGTCAGCACACAGAGAGGGACACTGGGCTCTCCAACACAAACAAGGCACTTACCAAGGACCCCTGCACTGTCTGGCCACAGTTTCCCCATCCAAGAGGAAAATTGAAAACCCTCCCTAACACAGTCCTCAGGACAGGGGAGCTCCATGGTCAGTCCCAGCACAAACTAAACCTTGGTTTATGGGTCAGACAGGAGAAGGTCAGGGCACCAGCACGACCCTCACAACCTCTCCTGGAGCTCATATAACACCATGGAGCATCCTCAACCCAGCGTGAAGAAACAATGAAGTGGTGGAGGAAGGATGGAAACCCATCTTGGGTCACACCAGGGGGGCCTGGGGCCATCCCTCCTCGCCCAGGGTGGGGATAGGAGGGGAATGGGACACGTCTCTCCTGGCAGCTGTACAAAGCCTGGGAGCACACGCTTCTGGGAAACATCATCTGTTTGTCTGGAATTGAGATGCGTCTGTCTGGCTGCCAGCCAGGAGCCCCCTCTGGAGCGGCAGCAGCCCCACCACCAGCTGAGCCCCTGGCCACAGGGATGTGCAGGAGGAGAAGGAGGAGAAGGTGGAGAGCTTTTCTCGCAGGCATGCATGTGGGGAATCCTACACTGCAGCTGTTTGGACCATCCTTGATGGAGAGAACAGCTTGGCTGCTGGAAGGCAGCCCTGCAGACAGGGGGTCCTGAGGGGGGGACCTTCCTGGACAGAGCCAGCTGGATCCAAAAGGTGCCAGACAGGAGGGCATGTCACCATTGGGGTGGTGAGGGGATGAGGACAAGCCCAAAGACACCTGGATGTGACACAGAATTTTGGTTCACCTCCCACCATGGCCCCAAGCCACGCTGACAGAGATGGCTGGAGACCCGATGTGGGGAGCACACACCCCTCTCCCTCTGGCAGGGAGCTGGGTTCCATGAACAGGGGACTCACACCTGCAGATTTGCCTCATTAGTAAAGTGGCTTTGGGCTACAGATTCCTCCTCTTCAACTAAATATTTCCTAAGCAACCAGCCCCATGTCCCAAAAGGAAGCACGGAGTGACCTCAGCCAGGCACAGTGCCATGGTAGCAGGTGAACCCAGAGGCAAAGACAGCCCAAGCAAAGGTCCCAGGAGGGAGGTGAGGATGGTGTTCTCATGGAAAACCTCTACTGAGGAATCAGGGCTGCTGTGAGCTAAACATTTGCTGGGCTTCAAAATGAAAAAGCCTTTGGCTCCAGACCATGAGCAGGTCCTGTGTGTTTAAGCAGGAGCAGAAGCTGCAGAGGGAGCATCTCAAAGCACAGGGGCTGCAGTCAAAGATTCAGCCAGAAGCAGCCCCCACAGGTTTGGAACTGCACTGACTTAAGGACCCTGAGAGATCATTTCCCTCAGGTTTTCTCTAAAACTTTGGCTCCAAAGTCCTGATACTCTGAGTTTGCTGTGCCTGGTGGGTTTGATGAGATCCTGATGCTGGGCGTTCTGTCTCTGTCCCCTCTGAGTCTGCAGCCACTGGTCAGGCCTTCTCTTCCTGAATTTAACTTTTTGCTTCTTCTAATTGTTAAGAATTGCCATTTATCAGCCCACAAAGGTTTTTGCTTATTCTGGGCAACTTCTGGGCCAGGCAGGGAGGTGTCCTACAAGCACAATGTGACCCAAAGAGGAAAGGACTCCAAGTCTCCATGATAAACAATTATCCTTCTTTGTGTGACTTGCAAACAGGGAGGAAAAATCACATGTGGTGCAAGATAAAACTTGATAGCCAACTTTTAATCAAATCAAGAGTCTGAACAAGACAAAAAAGCAGCATCAGCACCAAGCTTGTTTTTGGTCTTACTACAGGTCTCACTGATGTGGGACCTGACTTGATTTCCCCAAGCAAAAAAGGGGATCCCGCGTCTCCAAGACACCAAGTCGTGGCGAGGATTAGGAGTGTGACGAGCCCAAGTAACTGAAAGACCTTGACTGACAAGTTGACATTCCCTCCAATAGATAAAAGTACCACCACCTGCACAGGAAAATACAGAGTGCTGTGTGATGTCCCACACAGCAGCATTCCCCCACCAGCTCTTGGCAAAGTCTCCACATCACAGCACCTGCTCATGGCAGTGCCTCACCTGCCCTTCCTGCCAGCACAGGGAGCTCCAGCAGGCACTCACGTGAGTGAGAGCTGCATCACTCTCATGAAGAGCATCAGGGGACTCACAGCACACTTAGGAACTTGCAGAAAATGATCAAAGACAATTCCAGAGGTGAAGGAAACTCTTCTCTTTAGAGGCAGTTTGGGGAACCCCTCCATTGACACCGACTTGTAACCCTACACGAGAATTACTCTTCCTCCACTAAGGAACACCCTGATCCCTCCTTGCATTAAGATCGTGCCTTGGACCACACAAACACCCCAATATTCCTCTGTAATAAAAGCCACTTACCATCTTCATCATAGCCTTGGCAGGAGGAGAGACCTGGGAGCGATATCTATTATGCTCATCCAAGATGATCTTCTTTTCTTCATCACTCAGGGACCAGCTCAGCTCCAGCACTGAGAGCACCAGGAGAACGGGAGGAAGACCCGAGCTCAGCATCGTGCAGGCAGCTTCTGCTCTCAGCAGCCCACGGCTCTGGCAGTCAGATTTAAAGCACCTCCCAAAAGCAAGGAACACCCAACAGCTTGAAGATTGGGGAGGAAATGTATTTATTAAGAGTTTTGGAGCCATGCAGAACACACCCATCTCACATATCGGCCTTGATGGAGAGGCAGCAGTGCCAGTGAACACGCGGGGTCCTCTCCTGGGGACAGACCCTGTGCCTGAATCCTAATCCCTGGATTGGCATTCTTCATCCAGGCCTCTGCTTCTCCAAACATCAGCCATCCCCTGAACCCTCAGTTACAGGTTCTCTCTTCTACCTCCTGTTCCATTTCTCCTAATCTATAACAATACTCCCACAGCAACTGACAAAGCCCTGTTTTCACACGGGTCTTCCCCCGTCCCTGGAATTGCAGCTGCGTTAGAAACAAAGGCAGCAAGATGCAATTGCTGAGAGCAGTTTGCAGCACAGCAGCTCCCGAGACAGTCAGAGCCCACCTCAGCCAGCCCCATGTCTGTGTTGGGGGGACAGCATTTGGCAGCTGAGGAGCAGCCCCTGGGCTCCCCCAGCCTGCTGGGATCAGGGGAAAGCAGAGGGTTGATGCCTCTTCCCTCAACCATCAGGAGAAGGGGGAGCAGGAGAGGAAGAACAGGGTACAGAGCTGAAACTGCCCCAAACAGGGGAGCTGAGAGTCTGTGGCTGCCCTCAGGGCTGGCTGGAATAACCAAACCATCAGTTCTGTGGGGACAGGCTGTGCTCCCTCCCCGCAGGCACCCGGAGGGCTCAGCATCCGTGTCCCGCATCCCCCGCTCCGGAGCCGCTCTGGCCGAGCCCCCCGGGCTGCTGCAGCCTCGGTCCCCATCTGCGATTGTGCAAGCGGCCGGCCCGGCTCCAGGAGCTGCGCTGGGATCGCAGCCTGCTCGGGAGATCAGCGGCTGGGCAGCTCTGCAGAGCGGAGCCAAGTTAATCACACGCTGCCGGCTCTGCCTCCCCCTCCGCTCCCCTCCCCGCTCCCCAGGCAATGCTTTGTCGGTGTTCCTCTGCTTTTGGACCACACGGATCAGCTCTATCACCACAACAGCTCTCCTGCTGCCCCCCAGATCTCAGCTCTGTGTATTACCTCGTTCTTCACTAGCTCTGGGGTCAGCCATACCCTCAATTGTCCAACAATTCCTGCACGTGGGGTCTGAGGCCAACATCTCACCAGGTCTTCAACTCAGGTGGTCAAACCAGACATGCCCATGTATTGCTAAGGCAAATCTGTCTCTTGATGGAGGCACCTCAACATATTTGCTGTTGTATCTCTGGAGACCTGGAGAAATATCTAGAAAAAATCAACATGGGCTCCAGCTCCTGCTGGCCAGCTCACCATAGCCTGGCTTACAAGTAGTAAGTGCTGAGAATCATAGAGCCATGGAATGGTTTGGAAAGAACCTGAGAGCTCATCTCATTCCAACCCCTCTGCCATGAGCAAGGACGCCTTCCACAAGGAGCAGTGCAGGTGCAGGTCTCTCCAAACATGATGTGGAGATGCAGGACCAAACTCCCCATAGCCCTTGGCACCCTGGCTGAGCCCTGCAGGGGAGAGTGTGGCAACAAGGATGAAGGAAAATGGGATACACAGAGCTTGTGAGGAAGAGCAAACAGCCCTGGAGGAGTCATCACCAGGGCATGTGGCTGATGGGGTAACGTGAGTAAGAGCTGATGCCTTTGGCAACAGCAGGGTGGCTGCCAAAGGGGTGCAGGGCCATTTCTCAACTCCCAACCTGCTCTGATGACTCCTTCTGGAGCTAATGTCTGAGCATCAAGATTAGCAGTGCAAGGTCCGAGCCCCACCCTGGAGCTGAGACACTCGTGTCCAGCCGGCATTAGGTAAGTGTGTGTGGAATGCAGCTTTCCTTCTGCTCGCTCAAGGAACAGCCCATCCCCACACCCCGGGGACAGGAGCCACACACCGACACCTGACAGGCTCTGCTCCAGCCTGCTGGCTCCAGAGGCCCCACTCTGCAGCACAGGAGGGACCAAGCCTGGGTTGCTACTGACTCACGTCTCGAGGGTCTCCAGTGGGGCTGGCCGCTGTCTGACAAGGCTCCTGCACTGCTGTGGGAGTAACAGGATCTCTCTCTTCTCCCTACTCGCCTGGATTTATGAGCTCTGGAAGAGTTTATCACCTTCCACCCTATTCATTCATCCATTTTATTATTTAAAAATGCTAGGATACAAGTGTTGACTGGGAATCCCTCTGAGTTAGGCAGGGTGAGAATGGGGTATTGTCCAAACCAGTACAGTGAGCACCAAGGGGACCTGAAGTGAGGGAGGCTATGGTGAGACACTCAATCAATATTGACTCATCCAATTGTGTCTGTCACCACAATGCCTCAATAGCTGCAGGAAAAGACCCATTCCCCCCAGTTCCACCTCAGCAGGTCACTAGGACCAGCAGATTCTCTAGAGAAGTCCCAGCCTCCTGCAGCCTTTCCAAGGATATGTCAAACGAGCTCTAGATGAGGAAAATGAACAGGGCTCACTTGCAGCTCTTTGACCAAGGTATCAGAACCTCCCCTGGGTCATTCCAGTTTTGTTATTGTGGCCTCACCTCTGGGTTTCCCACCCTAATGATGTAGAAGGTGTGAGCACCATTCCCCCTGGCAGCTGAAGACAGCAGCTACTCTGGAAGCTGTGCTGCAGACTGAGTCTTGGAAGATTTGGCCAGAATCAATTCCTTACCACCAGGAGAAGTGCCCTCCTGTTTTAGTTTTGCAGATGGTTGCAATGGCATGGAAGAGCAAGACATTTTAGCAAAGAGCAGCCAGGTAACAAGATCAAGAAAGGTAGGTCCTCCCCAGACCCTCAGAGGACACCGTGGGACAAGAGCACTTCCAGCCCAAACACTCTGCGGGAAGCTGGATGGAGCTGCCAGCAGCATGACCCCAAATGCAAATACCCAGCAGGGTGTGAGCTCACCACAACTGTTCTGGCCCACTGCATTCACGGCAGATTCAGGAGCTGAAGCAAAAGAACCTCCTCTCGCTCCACCTGCAGCAAACAGCTCCCTGTCCCTGCGGGAAACGGACCCAGGGATGGAGGCAACCAAGCAGGTGAGCTTCATAAAGAAGCCAGGCCTCCTAAACACCACAAATCCCACCATTTAACCAGCCCAGCTGATGGTTAATGCCTCCTCCTCCCACCACACAGGGCTGTAAGGACCTGGCAGAATCTTTGCCAGGGTCACCCCAGTGCCAGAGTCCCCTTTATGCCAACCCCAGAAAAGGAGTGGAAATGCTGCAAAAGTCTCCCTTGAATGTTTTGTGCATTCTCCCCTGTGCAGCACACCAAACCCTGCCCTTGCCTAAACCCCCAAAGTCAGGATGAAGCCAAAGCCCCCAAATGCCCGTGTGGGCAGGCTCAGCCCCGCTGGCCCAGGGAGCAGGGCAAGAGGAAAGCGGATTTCCTTTGGCTTGGACTTTGCTGCTGCGAGGAACTCTAT